TCTTGACTTGGTTTCTGTGCTAAGTTGTGTGATATCCCGGGCATGGGAGAGGGGGATTATGTCAACATGAAGAGGGTGATGGTTTAAGAAGCACTCACTGTATGTGGGGAGCTAAACTGGCATGAAACTCTAAGACAACCTCCTTTCAGCCCCATTTTCATGAAATTGACTGTAATTGGCGCTTCTCTGAGCTTCAGTGCTCTCCATCTGCAGCTGAGAGCCTCTCTGAGCTTAGATTTTCCTCTCTAGCTTTGAAAACATCAAAGCGACCATATCTAAGATAATCTCGATAGTTAAGAGCCCACACATGTTTTGAGGATGCTAATAGAAAATGGCTTTCGGACAGGAAGATTTGATCCAAGTGGCAAAGCGCTTTCAGGGGCTTATGTAAAACTAAATTGGATTTGTACAAAAACCTTGCAGTATATGATGCTTTAAAAAAAACAAAACTAGTAACTTTCAGTGAGTGGCCAGATATTGGGGCTGGAAAAGGCTGCTTTCCTAACATTCCACTTGTTGGCTCTGCTTTTTACCCAGCTGCCTTCAATTGTTAAACCACCATTTTGATTTCCAGAGGCCCACATGTCGACATGAGCGGTGAGCGGCAGCTCACATACAACCCAGGAGACTTAGAGAACAAATATTCATAAAAACTCTAGAAGTGTTTCTTTTTAAAGCTTGCTTGTCTTTGCCAGAGTTCTCCCTCTTGGATTCAGATGGTTTATTAAGTCCCAGCCCCTGCAACTGCTGCATTCCAGGTAGCAGGCAGGACCAGTTTTCCTACCTAGAAAGCCAGAACAGAGGTCACCAACTTGGGGAGGCCTGAAGGCGGGAGCCAATTTGGCTGCTAGGATGAGCGGGTCAGCCACTATCCCCTGCAGATGGCCTCTACTGGCCACCTTCAAGGTCCTCAAAGACAAACCTCTCGAAAGACTTTTCAGTGGTAAAAGAGGCAGAGCCTGAAAAGCCAAGGGGCATCTAAACTCACCTAGCTGTTTATGAATTGAATTAGGAGCCATCCAGCCCTTTCAGAATCATAAAGTGATGAACAGGGAAGGCAGTTATTTTGTGTGTGTGCAGTCATTCCATAAAGCAGAATGAATAGCTTAGTCATGTATCAGGCCACCTCTTCAAGCTCTTCATAAAATACACTACTGGGTCCTCTTACTATGAATGGAAATAGCCTTCCCGTCAAAGAGAAGTAAAAGAAATCATGTGAAACCATTTGCCACTGAATGTTTGAATCCAGAAGTCTTATTCAACAATTTCCTCCTACATAGGAACGATTATTACTATCTCAGACCTGAGCTGTGTTGGTCCAGCCATTTTCCTCTGGGACTGCTGGGAAGGAGATGATGGCCTGGTCAAACAACCCCATCCAAAGGGCTGGGGATTTAGCTCAGCGGTTCGGTGGCCTGCCTTGCAAGTGCAAGGACCTGAATTCAATCCCTGGTACCAAAAAAAAAAAAAAAAATCCTTTTCTAAATTCCTTTTAATTTTCTCCCTGAATTTCCTTTTTGCTTCAGTGAATTTCATACTCAGATAAAGCATTTCTTGAGCACTCACTGTAAGTCAAGCACCATGGGAGGTGCTATCACACACATTATCCTCCATGTAGCAGAAGTGCCACTGATTACTTTCTCAATGGAGTGAGAGAAAGGGAAAACAGAAGGAAGTGGGAGTGTGAGGAGGTAGTTGCCCTTTCCAACATGGGAAAGGCAGGATCCATAAATCTAAAGTCTGTGCTTCCTGCATTTTTAGGGAAATCAAGGACAATTGCTGATCCTAATAAATGAAACAATATAAATACTAGGCATCATTTAAAAACAACAGCTCAGTCCACTTCCTCACAATCATTTCTGGCTTATAAACAGTTGTTTGAATCTGTAGGTATTTTCTACATGTTCATCCCTGATGCAGGTGGCAGAGTCTAGGTTTTTTAAATGCCTGGTTCTAAGGTTGTCTCACCATCCGTTATCTTGTGATGCGTGAGAAAGACAGGTCCCCTCCACAGGCCTTTTTCACCAACTCTGTCCTCCCACTTAAATCTGAACCCTTTCTCCCAAAGTGAAGTGTAGAGATCTGATTTCTTCCTCTGTCTAATTCCATAGGTCAAGGACAATTGTTTGTGGAACTTAAAATTTTTAATATCTTAAAAGTTAATTAAGGGAAGTGTCTGTGATTTACAGAGATGGTAGAATTTATAATGTGTCTTCCTGAGGAAAACCTGAGATTTTATGATAACATGCACATCTGGGAATTTGGAGATTTCTATATAACTGTATTTTTAAAGGGGAAAATATGCCTAAACTTTGGGAATGATACAGATAGAAAAAAACTAACTCAATTTTGGCAGATACTAATTCAGAATGAGATATCTGGATTAATTTGTACAAGATAGGAAAGTCATAGAATTAAACTCTTTAAGTTTTACATTTCAGCTAGATTTATCATATTTTAATTCTAGAACGCAAAACATTTACCTTTTCTGCCTCATGTAAAGATGTTTGAGAGAGAAAAATTTGCAAAAGTCAGAGAAGAGAGGCTGAATGGTTCTATATATACTTGGTAGGCAAGAGAAAGTCAAATTGAAGGCCTGGTAAACTAGGTATGTGCTTTGCTGTAAAAGATTAAGATTTGGGCCAGGGATTTAGCTCAGTGGCACTGTGCCTGCTTTGCAAGTGCAAGGTCCTGAGGTCCTGAGTTCTATCCCTGGTACTGGAACAAAAAAAAAAAGATTAGATTAGTTATAGACAATCTGCTTTTCTTATGACTGGCATAAGGAAGCAAAGATCTAAGGATACCCTTGGAGTAACACTTCTGGGTAGAGCTGTATCTTCTTTTCCCACTTGACAGTTGAGCTTCCTGGCTCCATCTCCTACCTAGGGCTCAGCCTTGACAGTTGAGCTTCCTGGCTCCATCTCCTACCTAGGGCTCAGCCTGGTGGCTCAAGGCAATGTTGACAGCTGGAATGCACTTGGCCTGGCTTTGTTAGGCACCATGCCTTCCAAATCACACCTTTGCATGTGTTTTGGGAGTGGAAAGGGTAGAGACTTCTTGCTTAGGATGATGCCTACTGATTCATTGCTGTGCAAACCAAGCAGTTGTCTTAGATACTACAAGTCTCTGGTATAAGAAGGGGCCAGACCTATTCACTGGACACAGGAAGAAGTTAAGGGTGAGCATAGAGAGTGGAGGTTTTGATCTATCACCAGGTGGTGGGGGATCTCATGGAAGTTACCTGCCCCCATTTCATTCAAGAGTCTCATCACCTAAGAATGTCAGGGTGTGCCAGGTGAGAGTCAGCTAAGAACATTGAGTGTGGAGTTAACATAATATGCTTAGAGAGGTTTGAGCACCACTAGGAGTTGGATTGGCTAAGGAATAGCAGGAGGAACAGAAGTAGATTGATCTGAAATAGATGTGTGATGATGAGTGACCTAATGTCTTTGCATATTAACATGGATATCCTGGCCTGAAGTCACAAGAAGGAACACGGAAGTGACGCCAGGCATGAGGAATAGCAAGGGAGCAAGTCCAGTGGGGAGTGGACTAGAATAACACCGCATACATGGCGTTCTAAGGTTCTGAGTGGTTCATGAAGATACTAATGGGAAATGTGAGCAGATCTCAATATTGGAAAACGCGTAGATGAATTATTATATTTATTCTCAACAAGGCCACAGAGGCCTTTTTAAAAAATTAATTAATTAATTAAGTTTGGTTTTTTGAGACAGGGTCTCACTATGTAGTCCAGACTGACCTGGAACTCACTATGTAGCCCAGGCTGGTCTCGAACTCACAGCAATCCTCCTGCCTCAGCCTCCTGAGTGCTAGGATTACAGGCGTGCGCCACCATGCCTGGCTTTTCAAAACACTGGTTGCCCATTTGCAAATGAAGTACCAACTCTTTCATGCCAGTAAGAAGCTCTGCACCTGCTGATGTGACTTTGAGGGCTGTGAATATCATCACTGAACTGAAAGGTGTAACATGAAGTCATCAAAGCATCCAAGATGTGATGAATGTTAGACACGGTTAGAGAGTGGCAGTCACTGTGAAATAAACATCTGTGGTGGAGCAATGTTTGAGGCTTCCTAGGTGCTGAGCCTTCCTACCCAGTGCTCTGAAACTCCATATTTCACATTTCTGTCAAGTTTAGTCTTTGAAAAAAAAGGTAAAAAGTGACCAATTATCAAATTATAGTCAGTGACACACACTGGAGACTGTGCCCTCAGAACACTGCCTGCCAGGCTCCTCACCATGGGCCTGATGAAGACTGCCCTAGAGTAGCTTCTATCTGCTGCCCTACACAATGGGATACTGGGGTTGGGGCAAGCTGTCTTCTTGGGCTCCTAATGGAAGAGGTTAAATGGCAAAATTAAAGAGGAGTAGCAGCCAGAGAAAAGACCCAAGTGAGTGATTTCTTTGAGTAAGTCTGGAGCAGGGTCTCCCTTCATACCTAGCTGGCTGCCTGTGTTTGAGGGCCCTGGACATGAGGCTCCCCCTGGTTCTGCTGTTAGGCCATGACCTGCAGCCCTGGAGCACTGTGGCCCTTGGTCTGCAGGAGCTCCTGGGAAACCTGACATGTTACGGGAGCAGGAAGGCTGAATTCCTCTTAGTTTGATGGACCCATTGATCATTTGACAATGCTTGGTAGAGTTTGAGGCACTGAATTACTTTTGTTACCCCTGAGAGAGAAAAATCCAGGCTAAGTCCAAGGTTGGTTTATTTGCCACCATTTATCCTTCCAGTGATTGTTTCTGAACCATGGTGACAGTTTCTATTTTCCGGAATATTTTAGGAAGGCAAAGTGTCCTTGCATTCTTCTATGTGAGTATGTACACCTCTGAACAATCTTAGGGTGGTTCATCTTGTTCCTTTACTGGCTTCCGGGGTTTCTGACTGCACGCCCTTTGCACAGCCCTCCTGGCCTAACCCTTCTTGTGACCCCATAGAGCCTCTTTGTCCTTCACTTGTCTTTTTCCTTCCTTCTCCCCAGAGCCAAGCTATGCGAATTGTGCGGACAGTGGGGCAGGCCTTTGAGGTCTGCCACAAGCTGAGCCTACAGCACACGCAGCAGAATGCAGATGGCCAGGAAGATGGGGAGAGTGAGAGAAACAGCAATGGCTCAGGGGAGCCCGGCAGGGACCCAGGTAGGTGCTCTCGCTGCAGTACATGTGAATAGAGAGGCAGGTGGATACCCCGTGGATGCTGGTGGGCCTCTCCCCAAAGGCCAGGTAATTCCTGTGCCTACAAGATGTTTCACTTTTTCTGTTTCTAGATTCCAGTTTTTCTCTAAGAGACATGCTTTACTTTTTTATGAGACAATTAAAGATGTTTAAATTATTAATGCAAGAGGCGTTTAAGATGATATTTGGAAATAGTTTCCGAAGGTAGAGCTGTCTTTGCTACCACATCTGACTCCAAAGAAACTTCAAAAATACACCCCCATAAGTCAAATCAAAGAGATGATAGGGCCAGGGATTTAGCTCAGCGGTTCAGTGGCCTGCCTTGCAAGTGCAAGGACCCAAGTTCAATCCCCGGTACCAAAAAAAAGAGATGATAAATATAGTTTCCCATTTTTTTTTGTTTTTTCTTAAAAATTTTTAACTTCTGTAGTAATACAAACCCCCAGTGTGGATGGTATTTTGGTATCTCAAATTTTCAACACTCCTCAAAAGCAAGAAGGGAAAAAGGATTTTTTTCCTCATTCAGTAGTGGTGGGAAATTCCAAGAATATAAGCTGAAAATTACTAGAATTAATAAATAAACTAAAAACTGTTAGAAAAAGAACATTCACTTAAACTAAGCACAGTCCAATATCACAGGCATTATTTTCATATATTCCTATAACTTTGTGAATTGAAATATTTATGAATAATTATATTATTTTATATAAAAACTGAAAGGCATACCATGTTCTTAGATGGGAAATCACAATGACATAAAAATGTCAATTCTGAGCCAGTGGTTCTGCCACCTGCCTGGCAAGTGCAAGGTCCCAAGTAAGATCCCCAGTACAAAAAAAAAAAAAAAATTAATTCTCCCTATGTTAATCTCTAAATTCTAACATAATCCAAATTGCTAACAGCAAAGGGGGACAGTGTGGTAAGTTATAGTATTTAAAACTTCTGAGATATAGCTAAAAGAATGCTCAAGGAAAATCCAAAGTTTCAATTATTTATATTAATAGAAGACCAATTTTAAAAGTCAAATAAATTAAGCATCCATCTCAGAAAGTTACAAAACAATAAAATAAGTCTTATACTGTTAAGTGGTAATATTACAAAGTAGGTGAGAGAACAGACTCTTGGTTTGTATACCAGTCAGTGGCTGTGTGATCTTGGGCAAGTTCTGTAACCTCTTGGTGCCTTAGTTTCCTCTTCTGAAAAATAAGAATCATAATAGTGTCTATCTCATAGAAATACTGTCATAATTAGATGAACTGATACATTCGAAATGCCAGGTCTGGTGTTTGGCATATAAAAAGCACTGAATACATGTCAGTTATTACTTTCCTGTAAATATGAGAAAAAATTTGAAAAAGAATAGAAAAAATACTGGAAACAATGAGTAATGACAGAGGAGGGGCTTTCTAGATACAAAGACATATGATAAAGCTGGAATAAGGAAAACTACTGATGCTCGAATGTGTCCACAAATAGATGAGAAGAGCAACTCAGAGACAGACGGAGATGCGTCTGTGCTGCCTGCGGAGCACACCTGGGAATGCTAGTTAAATATGTCTTCCGGCCCCCAGATTTCCTTCAAATTCCTTTCTGAGAATTTACCCTAAAGACAAACCCATACATTTGTGAAATGAGAATGCAGTATAAGCAAAGAGTCCGTTTAAAAAAAAACAAAGGACTTGAAACAGAAAAAGGTAAGTTTTAAATAAAATGTAGTACAAATAATGGAATACTGAGCAACTATGAAGATCAACTCGGTTATCTATTAATTGATACAAAGCCATCTTTAAGATAGGTTGTGTATTGAGAAAATCATAGACACTCGTGTTCTTATGCACAGTTATTTCTGGCATGATGCGCAAGAAACTGGTAGCTATGGTTCATTCTAGTTAGGGTGACGAGAAGATTTAATTTCCACTGTACTTTATAGCTTTTGTACTCTGAGCATGTATTCATTATAAATTTAGAAAACCTGACATTTTCATCCAGGGCTCAGTTTCTATGTGACCACAGGGAGTTACTTTACTTTTTTCTGCTATTTTTATTAAATAGTGGCATTCTTTAATGCAGGCATCTCAGTGATCTTGACTAGAACAAAATTATCACATAGATAGAGCCTTGCATTTTGTGTGTGTTCTTGACCAGTCATGGCTCATAGTGAGCCATGGTACTAATGTAAAGTTTTGAAAATTCTCCATCTCTATGTTCTGAGGCTTACCGATAAAACAGAGAATTACAGGTAGGCATCTGCAAATATTGCACATGTCTCTGCTGGACTAATGAGCAGAACATAATGGTGACAGTTGCCTGTAAGCATCCCCTGGTGACCTCTGTGAGGTCATGGTGTGCACTTTGCTCAGAGAACAGAAACCGATCTGCTCACTTCTACACTGAGCATGCATCAGAGCACTTGCCGGGGAGGAGGAGGGAGACCTTGCCTTGTTAATGCTGCTTCGGTGCTGTCAGGGGAGCTGCAGCGTTATTCTCAAGAGCTTTCAAACCCACAGTCACACTGGCCATCAATTACAGGTATAGGAAAACATTCTCTCCTGAAAGTCAAGCCTCCAGTGAAGCTATTTATTTCTGGAGTGAAAGGGGCTGGCTCAGGGAGAGCATCCAGAGGCTGAGCATTTGAACGTTGTTGTTGTCACAGAAGTTCAGTCTGAGGAGACTGATCTAAGTACCTAATCTGAACTTACTGCCCTGCTGCTAGCCAGAGAGGTCTGGATGGTTTTGTCTTTGGCTTTGTTTCTGTTTCTTTGTTAGTGCTGGGGACCAGACTTGGAACCTTGTGTGTGGTAGACAAGTGGTAGAACCACTGAGGGTTCACCCCAAATCCCTAGGTTGGTGCACATGTGTGTGTGTGCATGTGCATGTGTGTGTGTGTGAGAGTGTGTTGTACTGGGGATTGAACCCACGTCCTTTACACTGAGCTACATAACCAGCCCACATATATATTTTGGAGATAAAGTCTCACTAAACTGCCCAGGCTGGGCTCAGACTTGTGATCCTCCTGCCTCAACACTCCCAAGGTGCTGAGATTACAGGTATACACCATCATGCCCAGCTCTGTTGGCCTTCTGAAGTGTAATGTTTCTAGTGTAGTGTTTCTCACAACGCTGAGGGATAGGTCTTTCTTCCTCCTGCAGCAAGAGCTCCCCTCTCCTCTTGCAGCTATCTGCTGGATGGGTGGGTTGGTGTGATTTCCTGGGGTGCTTGGAAGATTCTCTCTGGGGAATCAGCAGACGTTCCCACAGGGGTCACTTATGCTTTTCTTTCTGCCCTACTTCCCTGATTCCTCTCCGTGAACCATGAGTTCCTTCCTGCCCCAAATGTGTCATGTATTTACCAGCCATTCTTAATCCTCTGCCAAGGATCCCTGCATTCACCTTCATGCAGATATCCAGCTTGTCCTGCAGACCCAGCCTCAGGTCTCCTTAGAAGCCTGCTTCTCAGCTCCTCTTTTCTTTTCTTTTCTTCCCCTCCCCTCCTAGAAAATTCAGGTACCCTTTCATCTGTTGTTCTGGATCCCTTCGTTCCTGGCCAGTGATGTTGACATTAGCATCCAACCGCCCGTGTACCAGACATGCACGTCTTCTATGTTTAATGGCATCTGAGCTCAGGAGGATAGGAATTTCCTAGCCCAATACTTACGGGTTGAATAAAATGACAAACGCTGTCCGTGAGTGCGGGTGTATTAGTCATTGTCACAAACATTTACGAAGCACTTACTCCATGCCAAGCTGAGCATGGAGATGGAGGATAGATTCCAACAGGGAGTGACCTTTAAGCAGCTTTGTTGATAAGGAATGATGACACTTGGGATGGGCGAGTCAGCAGAATGGAGGTGATAAAGACCAAGGGAGAGGCTGGAAGCTGAATAGAGCACCCATGAGATGGTATCAGTGGTGACGATTGCTACAGGGGGAGACCACAGCCATTTACTCTGTGGCTATGATGGTCATCGTGGAGCTAACGGGTCCTTCCACCATATTCACTCTCCTTCAATTACCTTTTGGGAGATAATTTTCCCTAATCACATTATTATACACGAGACCTTGGCTAGTAGGCATAGACGCTAAGAAAGGAATTGGTATTCTGCATGCAGAAACACATGACAGCATTTTAGGAAAGCCTGTCAGAAGCAGGATAGTGTATTCAAAGTTTGCGGTATCAAGGAGGCACTGTGTGTATCTCTGCAAGGTCGGGCCTGGGTTGGTGGGCTCTAATACTGGCAGCCTGTCACAGGGAGGCCTGTCATAGGGAGTGGAGCTTCTGGGCTGCCTGTGTCTATACAGATGGTGATGTGGCTTGGGAGTGAGGCAAATTATGTTAGAAACACATACACACACACTCCCCTCAAGAGGAAAATTTAAAGAATTAACTCACGTGCCTAGAGAAGCTTATTGAATCAAAAGTTTGCAGAATGGGGTCTTTGGGGTGAAGACTTGGTTTGAGTTCAAATTCCCCTTTCCTCCAGGGAAGTCAAACTTTGCTCTAGTCGGGTCTTCACCTGATCAGATGAGTCCATCCCCATTGTGAAGGGCAATCAGCTTGTCTCGCAATCTGCTAATTTACATGTGATTCACATTTTTTAAAAATCAATTAATTTTATTGGTACATTTAAGGTATACAATGTTATGACATTCATCATTGGAAATTTGCACCTTTGCATGATCCATCTTTGTTCTTATTTTTTCCCCATTCCCCTGCCCTCCCTTCAACCCCTACCCCTCCCT